CTGGTCTTCAAACCTAGTCTCTTTTTGATTTATAATTTTCTGTTTAAAAAAAATTTGTCATTATCCTGTGCATTCTATTATTGTGCTGATTCCACTGAATTAGTCAGCCATGCAAGGAAGGAGAAATTGACAGATAAATTCAATAAATAGCATTGTGCAGAACTTGCTGAGTCTCCAAACAAGAAGGAAGTAAAAGCACAAATGAGCCATGTAGGTGCATCCCACCTACAATGGAGAATAATCAATAATGCTCAAGTGAGAAAAGGACAAACCAGGAGGAGAAAAGCAAAACTATATAATTCTAGCTTGAATGAGAATTCTGCCAACAATGGAGACTCAGGGCAAGATGAATAATTATACACATACGTATTCTACATGGGAATATACAACACAAAGTCCTTATAAGGTATACAGTAACATCCAACCGTGAACACTGACAGAAGGAGAGTCCAGAAAAAAAAAAAGTAAAACAAGAAATAAAAATATTTTATGGCAAAATGAGTCTGCATTCCTTTCTGTGTTTTTCTATAAGCTGTTGAATGGGAGCTTTTAATTCCAAATAAAGTTTTTTTGAACCAAACAACAGCTTATACATGCTTTAACTAAGTCACTCTATTCTCTCCATATTAAAACAAAACAAAACAAACAAATAAAAAAACAACCCAACAGCATTCTGCTTATTATTAACCTTGGCTGATATCTGTCAATAGTTTTTATACAGCATTTCCCTAACAGATAAAGAAAAACAATTAAATGATGTATATTGTATTCTCAAGTGACCTGGGGTACCATGATTTCATGGACCTCCATAGGCCTTAAAATTCCTGTGGTGAACCAGTGAATTTTAAAACACATACCTCCTTCTTCCTCTCTTGCATTTTTGATTTGTTTTTACCAAACCACCAAAACTTTTCCCTTTCTATTACTATATATTTTTATAATAATATTTTTTTAACTGGTAGATTTCTACCTGGGGGTAACTGAGGCACATGGATTCTTTAAAGGCAACTGTATTAATCTATTTTCTATCACCATAATTAAGGACCAAAAAGACTTTAAGAGAACAAATGACTTTACAAGGCAACTGAATTTGCTTCACACAACGGTATTTATTGAGAACTTTTATTTGCCATGTAACAATATATGGAGATCACAAAGAAATAGAGGAGTCCTATTTTTAAATACTTATTTAATTGGCCCATTATTTTAAAAAATTTAAAAGATAAAGAGAAATTCGAAGCAAAAATTCAGATGTCAAAAAGGTTATACAAACATATGTTATGAACTCAACTTATTTGCTCTTATAAGTTGAAAATATAAGTACAGTTTGTATGTAGATATTAACAGAATTTTTACAATTTTAGCTGTTAGAAATATTGCTGATTTTACACTCCCCTGATATTCCAAATCTTTCAAACCAAATTTTACTTTTTCTGATCAGAAGAATTAACATAAAATATATGTGTGATTCATTGCCTATAACTAACAATTAATTGCTAAAATAGTTCAAAAGAAGTAGTGATCCCTGAGGGAAGGGAATAAATAGTGAAAGGAATGTTTAGGACATTATTGTGGCAAAGTTTCATGTGGCTACGTTTTAGTCAATAGCACTGCTTAATATCTAAGACAAAGTAGCATATAAATGACATTCTCTCCATGTAATATTGGGCTTTGTCCACATAATTCATGAAATATGATTTAAACACTAGTTTATCCAAATTCCATGTAAAGAAAATACTCCAGTATTACAACTACACACAGTTCAGTTGATATGAATGTAATCAGCAGATATATTCATAATTAACCACTTCACAACACTAAACATTTAGTGACTCCAATTAACAAGCAACATAAATGATGCAGAAGCAAAACTTTTAGGTAACTCTCGAATTCTCATCTTAGTTCCCTTAAGGAGAAAAGGCTAATCCCTCCATGGAACACTTAAATACATGCACTTTTGAGTTTTTCAAAATAAGGGTTTGGATTTGCACTAATTCATCTATATTGTCCAAACCCACTGACCTCTCACCCCATTCCCTATGACATATTTTCAAAATGAATTAACAACACTCTAATAAGAGATAATCCCCATTCCTGAATTCCTGATATTGTGTTCTAATCAAAGGAGTTAATAAGCCATACCACAGGGACATGGGCTGATACTGCTAATATTTAACATTTTCACTAGGACACTTGACAGTAAACTTAAAGGATAGATTTCTTTCTTCTCAGGTCTGGATACCCTCTCTCCCCCCCATTTTCTCTTTCTCCCTCTAGATATTTTTTTAGCTTTATTTTCCAAGGCCCATATAATTGACCTTCTAATGTTCTAAGATTATCATTGGGAGAGCTTTAATAGATGAGAAATAAGGTGATACAATCATTGATTAGTAGCATCTACTGAAGAGAGAGAGAAGTAGGCAAACTGAAAAAAATTATTGTTTTTAATTAAAATAAAATAGTATTGCTGTAAGTTTTGTGAGGAGAAAATTAAACAAACACAGATCCTGAAACAAATACAGACTTGGAGAATAAATAATTTCCAGGATGACTCCTTGATTTTTAAAATATGGCATGGGCCTCTGCAGATTGGAGAAGAAATGGAAAGGATATCTATCTGCCTGACATTCAAAATGATTTTTTCCACTCTCACACAAGTTTCCAGGGGATACCTATTTCTATGTTTATAGTAGAACGAAAACAATCCCAACGTCCACTAAATGAAAGAAAGGAGAAAAAGCTCATATATCTTTGATAGCTAGAATGAAAAAAATGTACACCAAGGAAGTTATTATTATATATTATATATTATTATTATCCCTATTTTACATGGGGGAGATTAACCTGGATAACAGAAGGTAAAGCCACAATTTAAATCAGGTTAAGTGTCTACCTTCAACTCAGGACATGATCTCATGGTCCTAGGATGGAGCCCAACATGAGGGTCCCTGTTCAGTGGGAAATCTGATTCTCCCTCTCCCCTTGTCCCTCTCCTCATGCCCTACTCATGATTTTTCTAATAAATAAATAAAATCTTTAAAGAAAATAAAATCAGTACTGTTATAGTGTAAGCTCAGGTTTGTGTTTATTATTCAATATATGTTATTATTAAGAAAACTGTAAAGTGGGAACCTGACCTTCACACAAATGTGTCAAAAATTTCCTTTATCTGAAAGAGTCAACAAAACCAAAGACAACCCACAGAATGGGAGAAGATATTTGCAAATGACAGATCAGATAAAGGGCTAGTATCCAAAATCTATAAAGAACTTATCAAACTCAACACCCAAATGTTGGTGAGGATGCAGAGAAAGGGGAACCCTCCTACACTGTTGGTGGGAATGCAAGCTAGTGCAGCCACTCTGGAAAACTGTCTAGAGGTTCCTCAAAAAGTTGAAAATAGAGCTACCGTACGACCCAGCAATTGCACTACTGGGTATTTACCCAAAAGATACAAATGTAGTGATCTGAAGGGATACCTGCACTCCAATGTTTATAGCAACCATGTCCACAATAGCCAAATTATGGAAATAGCCTAGATGTTCATCTAGAATTCGAGAAAAAAGACAGGATCATAGGGGAAGGGAGGGAAAAATGAAACAAGATGAAACCAGGGAGGGAGACAAACCATAAGAGACTTAATCTCAGGAAACTCACTGAGGGTGCTAGAGGGGAGAGAGGTGGAAGGGATGGGGCGGCTGGGTGATGGGCATCCGGGAGGGTATGTGCTATAGTGAGTGCTGTGAATTGTGTAAGACTGATGAATCACAGACCTGTACCCCTGAAACAAATAATACATTGTATGGTAATAAAAAAAAAAATTTCCTTTATCTGACAGGCTCAAATTTCTAGGATAAACAAACAAAAATTTCTAAGGCTAACAGTCTTGAGTATTTGGGCAACTGGCTTCCAACCAAGGAAATCCTGTTTTCATCTATATACTACCATCCCCAATTCAACCCACCTATCAGTCATGGTAGTCACGACTTGTGAGACCAAGAGATAAAGTTAAATGTCTCCAAGTAAGATATCAAGAGTATGAGAAAACAAACTTAAAGGATACATCCTACTGACACATCTATCAGTTGCTTACATTGCAAAGCAAGCTGAGTTGAATCTTTTAATCATCTCCCTTGGGATATATAAATATATATTCATATAAATATATAAAACAGGACTTGAGATACTATCTTCAGAAGGCTACACTGAAAGTCAATTATAAAACAAAAAAGCACAATAGAAAAATAATTACTTTTAAAATGGTCACTGAAAAAAAAAAATAGTAGACAGTTCAATACATTGTGGTTTACTACTACTACTGTATTTGTTTTAAAAGAACCTTAATAAAATTTCAACTTCCGTAGCATCTCACAACTCTGGTTAGTATCTGACTTCCAGCATTGATATAGCAGAAAAATTTTATCACTAACACAACTTCTAGGTTAACTTTATTTTTATTTTTCATTCTAGGTTAGCCAGTGTAACAGAGAACTTCACAACCTATATTGATATTTTAAGAAATAATTCCTGGGGTCCCTGGCTGACTCAGTCAGTGGCACATGTGGCTCTTTTTCTTAAAAGATTTTATTTATATATTTATTTATTTAATTATTTGACAGAGACAGCGAGAGAGGGAACACAAGCAGGAGCAGTGGGAGAGGGAGAACAGGCATCCTGCTGAACAGGGAGCCCGATATAGGGCTCGATCCCAGGACCCTAGATCATGACCTGAGCCGAAGGCAGATGCTTAATGACTGAGCCATCCAGGTACCCCTGCACATGTGACTCTTGATCTTGGGGTTATGAGTGTGAACCACACACTGGGTACAGAAATTAATTAAAAAAAAAAAAAAACTTGATAAAAATAATAACCCCTGTTTCTGTCTCAATACGTAGAGAGATATCTGTTATTAAGTATGCATAATTTATCTCTGAAGGGAAATAACAAGGCACTCTGATATGGTTCCATCAGTTCCCTACATCTTCCTCCTCTATAACAGGCCAGAAATTCACCTTTGATGCTGGTGCCAAGGTGGCTGTTTTCACTCGGCATGGCTGTTCTTTACAGTTGAGTGGCCACACCGAGGTGGCTTACGTCTCCAAGGACACGCCTATGTTGCTTTATCTCAACACTCACACAGCTTTGGAGCAGATGAGGAGGCAGGCGGAGAAGGAAGAAGAGCGAGGCCCCTGGGTGATGATAGTGGGCCCCACTGATGTGGGCAAGTCCACAGTGTATCATCTACTGCTCAACTACGCAGTGCGTTTGGGCCGCCGTCCCACTTATGTGGAGCTGGATGTGGGCCAGGGCTCCGTTTCCATCCCTGGTACCATGGGGGCCCTCTACATTGAGCGGCCAGCAGATGTTGAAGAGGGATTCTCTATCCAAGCCCCTCTGGTGTATCATTTTGGCTCCACCACTCCTGGTACCAACATCAAGCTTTATAATAAGATTACATCTCAGTTAGCGGACGTGTTCAATCAAAGGTGTGAAGTGAACCGAAGGGCCTCTGTAAGTGGCTGTGTCATTAACACCTGTGGCTGGGTCAAGGGCTCTGGGTACCAAGCCTTGGTGCACACATCTTCAGCCTTTGAGGTCGATGTGGTAGTGGTTCTGGATCAAGAACGACTGTACAATGAACTAAAACGGGACCTCCCTCACTTTGTCCGCACTGTGCTGCTCCCTAAATTGGGGGGTGTGGTTGAACGCTCCAAAGACTTCCAGCGGGAATGTAGGGATGAGCGTATCCGTGAGTATTTCTATGGATTCTGGGGCTGTTTCTATCCCCATGCCTTCAATGTCAAATTTTCAGATGTGAAAATCTACAAAGTTGGGGCACCCACCATTCCAGACTCCTGTTTGCCTTTGGGCATGTCTCAGGAGGACAATCAGCTCAAGCTAGTACCTGTCACACCTGGCCGAGATATGGTGCACCACCTCCTAAGTGTTAGCACTGCTGAGGGTACAGTGGAGAACCTTTCCGAGACCAGTGTGGCTAGCTTCATCGTGGTGACCATGGAACATCAGGTGTTTACTGTTCTCTCTCCAGCCCCTCGACCACTGCCCAAGAACTTCCTTCTCATCATGGATATCCGGTTCATGGATCTTAAGTAGAGATTGGCAGGAAGCCTTGCTGCCTGGACATTAAAGATCTTCTGGCCATCACCAAAGGCAGATAGGCTGAGGTATGAGACTCTGTTGAGGCCACGCAGAGGAGTAAATAGTGAACTAGTAGAAAGCATATTGCTACCTCTTAAAACAGGTGGTGGAAACCCAGCTCTTCTAATCTTGAACCAAAAGGACAACCATGAGAATATAATTGGTTTTTTTTGGATCACCTAAGGTGCCACTTTGAATTCTCTGAGGTCCTGGAGAATCCCATTTCTTCCACAGTGCTACTTGGTAGACTGATTTTTAGGAGGGATTTTTTTTTTTTTTTAAACCAG